GGTACCTCTTAGGGGAAGGAAAACATTCAAGCCACGCCCACAAAACAGGATATTTTACTGTCTTCCTAGCCCCTGGTGGCGGTGAAAAAGAAGACATCTTTATTATTGTTTAAATTTGGTTCAAAATATAGTTATCACGGCTGATAAACCCTTTTCGTTGAAGACTGAAACAATAAGCTTCAAGTATTTTATGAAACTGACGTATAGGTTAACAATACGGCAGCATGTTACCACTAGTTAACATGTAATTATGAGCTCGTGCAATTTTCTAACTCATGATCTCCTATACACAGCGGCAACTGCAAGACAAGCTATCTATGATTCATTTTTTGTTAACTATATATATTTATTTATTTGTTTATTTAAACATTTATTTATTAATTTTCTATTTTATTTGATTCGTTGCCACTGACGATTCGACTGAACGTAGGTACAGAGTCTCAAATGGAGCAATATTAAGTCATAAGTCAATATTATTTGAGCGCACAGAAGACAACTGTACTAACTGTACTAACGTTAGTAGTATATTACTATCTGTAGGAGACAACATATTTAGTACAAAGGCCGACGTAAAACACTTACCCTGCTTCTCCTTGAGATCCATTGTTGTGGACGTCTTAGCGAAGGCAAAGTAACATTTGGAGAAGAGACACAAAGAGATTTTTTTCAGTCAGTGCCGGTTGAATGTGAGATGAGTGTCTCATCTCGAAATCTGATACTCGATACAGTAAGAAGAAGAACAAGAAAAAAACAACAACAACAACACAAAAACACAGGGAAATATCCCACAGCCATGCATGCCATCACATATAAGCCAAATATAATGCCTTGAAGGAGTTCTCGAATACTCAAGGTTCTATTGATGAGCACCCAATTAGGTAGAAAATACTGTGGTATTAAAGTGTGTGATGCAGAGATTCTGGAGAACATTACTTGTTATGAACATCAACAAAATGATACTCAGGATACTAAAAAGTACTATTGCTCTGCCTGGATTTCTTACATCTGCCGTAATAAAGTGGCTATAAAGTAAAACACTCACCCTTAGGGTCCCTCCTTTTACACTTCCTTTTTTTGTGAACATACCAGCCTACACCTCCAGCAACAGCCAGCGCAGCAACTACCCC